CGCCACGCTGCCCCCCCCCTCCGGCTCCCTCGGGTGCCCCGACACCCAGCAGCCTGGCGCCCGGCCCATGCAAAAGCCTCCATTTGCATATTACTAACTCGGGAATGGATGAGTCCCTGCAGCACTACCAGGGCGTGGGGTGGGGTGGGAAGGGAAGGAGGGAGGAAGGAAGGCGGTTTGCCCGCCCTCAGCTGTGCAGATACACCCCGCAGCACCTGCCTGTTGGGCTGCAAGCGAGGGGCTTTGTGGGGCCCCCGCCGTCAGCCCCAGATCCCGGTTGTCCCCTCGTGGACAGGCTTTTGGGTCTGCCCCTTGCAATGCGCGGTAAGAGAGGCCAAGGCATGAAGCCACGCTGGGCAGCAGCTGCCAGTGGCCAGAAGGGAAGGCGCCCGAGCTGTGGGAACAGCCCCTCCAGTAAGCAGCCCTTTTAGTTAGTTTCTGGTCACTCTCATAAACCCTGGGGTCTGCTCAGAGTGACCCGTGAGAGCAGCCTGTGCAGTTGAGTCTTTGCATCCCCTAGGTCTGGGCTGAACCTGGATGATGCCATATGGAACAATCAGCACAAAAAGGAAAGCTGAGAGCGGAAAGGTAACCCGACCTGGCTAAAGACACAGGGTATGGCTAGGATCAGCACATGGAGAATCCCCCTTCCTGACTTGTGCTCTGTGCGGTACATCAGTCCCCCAAGAAGAGGAGGGAAGTGGCAGACAGCCTCTTCGTCCTCCTCCATGTTGTTTAAAGCTGCAGTATTTAACTGACTTCCAGGGAACCCAGGGAAAAAATCCCCTAATGTTGGCTTCTTTGGTAGGCAGCTGCCAGAGGCCAGATCCTCAGCCTACGCTCTGTGCTGTGACGGTGACCAACAGTCACCCTGAGGGACAAGGAACTGCAGCTGCCTGCCGTGTACTGCCTTGATGACCCCTACCACAGCCTGGGGTAGCAGGACGCCTGTGTCAAACGCCTGAGCTCCAGCGCTGCTCAAACCCCTCCTGAAAGCGTTAACACGCTCTATTGGTAGCTGCCAGGTACAAGCTATCACACATTCATCTCTCCCTGGCTAATTCACGTTTCAGGGCTCTCGGCTTTCCCACATACTGCTCTCCCTCCCTGGAAAGACAGGTTTCTCTGAAGAGATGGGTGGGCGGGCAGGCTCGCTGAGCCTTACCTCCAGCCCAGTTCGACGCTATGGGGCTGGCACGCCTAGCCTTGGCGTGCATGGTCAGGGGGGACATACTCAGGAGAGGACAACAGGCTGGGAGGAAAGGGTGGATGTGTTAAAATTCTAACCAGGAGAAATAGGAGGGGAAAGCGGGGGGAGAGATGGAAGGGGAAAGTAGAGAGAAGGGGAAGTTCCCGAGTCAGACTAACGTTTGCAGGACAGGGTGTGAGGGGAGATTTCTGCAGGCCACATTCAGCGTGGATCCAGGAAGCAGAAAGGTGACATGAGGTGGTTTGCGCAGGCAGCTTGTTTGGAGCTGGGGGAGGGGCTGGACTCCTGCCACTGAGCCTGAGCCCGTGGCAGAGCCACAGCTGTTCAGACCGTGATCGTCGGGGCGTTCCTGGGTGGCTGCTGGTCTACGTTCTAGTGTTTTCAGCATGACCCCTACGTCTGAGTTCTCCCATTTGGAAGAGTGACACGATCCGGTGTCTTCACTGTGTCAAACATGGGTTTGCTGGCGGCTTCCAGCCAGCTTGGACGTCCTCTGGTGCACAGGAGAAAGGCCCTGGAAAGGCTGGGAATCACGAGAGCTCTCCTTCCCCCCACATCAGAGCACCTTTTGAACACCAAATGGGCG